CTATATCGCATACAAAGGCACCCTAATCCCCACCCTCATCCTCATCACACAATGAGGGAACCAGCCAGAACACCTAAATGCTGGCATTTACCTCCTATTCTACACACTGGCCAGCTCACTCCCACTACTAATTGCCATCCTCCACCTGCACAATCAAATCGGTACACTATACTCCCCAATACCCAAACTTTCACACCCTACATTAAATTCTTCTTGATCAAAATTTTGACTTTACATCTGTCTAGGCATGAAGTGGGAACAATGAGTGAGTTCCATGAGATTCCTGCAAGACCCAAATATCTCTTGGAGTGAGGCTGGAGCCATGCAACGCTTTTGCTAGCACAGAGAAATCTTATCTTAGCCTGAAAGATGTAAAAAATCTTCTCCAGAAAGAGAGGTATCAGACCAGAGAGTCAGCAAGAGTTTTTGCTTGATGGAATCATATTTCTTGATTCAGATGACTGATCAGATATGTCCCTCTTTGTAAGGGTGCATTTAGCATTCTGCTTGTGTCCCAAAATACTTTTTGAAAGGCAGCCTGTTACATAGGGACCAAGTCATTATTCCTACAGGACAGCAGGACTGCAAATGATAACCCAAGATCAGGTTGCTTTTCACAGGCCAGGTGAAGAGCACAGACATGCAATTTGGTTTGGAAGAGACATGATTATCATGGCCAGGAAGACAGAAGTGGAAGCCAGCACGGAGGGTTGTTGCCTTGGGAGGCAGGAATGCAGCAAAGGAACAGGTAAACTCGGAAATCTGGAACTCTGTTTTCTTAGGGATCATAAAACCACAACTTTGAAGGCAACCTAAGATGCTAATGACTTTCAAGATGATCTGAAGACAAAGGCCTCTATGGCCATAGGATGGAAAGCAGTGGTCACAAAGTGAAGCAAAGGAGTGAGACCTCGTGGGAGATGACCCCTGGGTGCCAACTGTAGGGGCTGATCTCTGGGGCCGTTCGGGTCCCATCCGGCTGCTCTGGACCCCCGCCCATCCCAGCCTTTACGAGGACAAAAGGAAAAGACTCGAGGCTCTCTTCTCCTCGGGACCAGAGCCCTACTTTATTCCTTGACACGTGTCACCTGGAAATCCAGGCAACATCCCTGGGGAAAAAGAGGAGGAATGCTTGATGGTGGGAGATTTCAAACTGGGGAATGGAGGGTGGAGGTAAAGAACCACAGGCAGTGGGATACAAGTGGGGAGGGGGAGAGGAGAGGAGGAGACCAGGGAGAAACCACTGCTACTGGGGCTCAGGGGGCAAAGGGGAGAAGGAGACAGACCATGTGATCAGTGCAATTTACCAGACACACAGTGCAAAACAACAACTAAATGAACTATTTAGTGCAATACAACAAAGGAGAGTCAACCATCAGGACTTCAAGAAAGGCTCTTGGACTGTGTGGGTTGTCCAGAGAAGCTGTACATTCTCCATCCTTGGAGATACTCAAAACCCAGCTGGGCATGGTCCTGGGTAACTGGCTGGAGGGGGCCTTGCTTGAATGGGGGAGGTGGAGTAGATAATCTTGAGAGGTCCCTTCTGACCTCAGCCCTTCTGGCATTCAGTGAAGGTTGAAGCACCTGGGTGGATGATATCACCTAACACGGCAGTGTGCAACTCTGAGAGCTCATGTACAATACTGTATAAGCCATTTTCTTTGTAAGGCACTAAGACTTCAGAATTCTTAGGTGATCTCAGACAAGCAATTCTAACTTTAATTCTGATTATTTTTATTATTATTATAATTTCTGCTTGTATTATCTAAAAGTGAAGCAAACTTACCCTTCTGTAACTTTGTCAGATCCTCCTTTTTTTCCACGAAAGATTCTTCGAACTGCAGGAAGGAGAAAAGAAAAGTTCTAGTGCCATTCCATGATTTAGCCTCTCCTCCTTTAGGTAAAAAAGGCCTAAAGTGATGTGTTTTGTGCAATTTGATATTTCTAAAACATAAATCATATTTGAAATCTTTAAGGCACATTGGCCTTCATTGTGAAAGAAACCCTCATATCTTGAAACACACAGATTCCCATACAGCATCTCGGGTTCACCATCAGAATCTGTCAGAGGTAAAAAAAACCAAAACCTGTAGTTTTGGACATTGGACATTGGAATTTAACTGAAGGTACTCAGAATTGCAGGTGCTTGACCTCTGTAATCAGAAGATTAGGAAGCCAGGTTCTGCTGCTGGGGTTCTAAATTTCTTCTCTCTCTAGCTACAGGGGAGGAGCATTTCTGGTGCTACCTGCAGGCTTTGCACACGATGCATGCAAGCGAGACAGGAACTTGCCCCCTGCTTAGGGCAAGCTCATGGGCCCTGTTGGCCTGGCTCAGCAATGGACTGAAGGCAGAGCTTGAAACTGCTGCTCAGTCGCACTTTTCAGAAGGAACAGTAGAAGCACATATTTGTCACAGGATCTCAGTACAAAAGACCAGAAGCAAACCTCAACCCCAGCTGCTGCCAGGAGCCACCGAATTGGTTCCATGCGGCCACGTCCATTGAAGTAGTGCAGCTTGGGTTTTCCAGACATGTTTCCACCTGCCTGATTCCCTGGTATCTGCAATGAAGAAAGCAGGGTTGCACAATAAACATTCACAATCCTGGATTCAACTCTTTAATTTGCTTTTAAAGTTGTCTTTTTTGAAATCAATGATTTATCATCCAAGACTTGAATTAATCAACAGTGGAGGTAAAAGTTAGAATATATTGACAGACTTCCGCGTATCATTCTGCCTTCAAATATTACTCACACATGCAGAATGTTTAAGCAGAATTCTGTACTTACAGCAATTGGCCCAGAGAGAAAACCAGTCAGTCAAAACAGTTTTCATTCAAAGTGTTCTGTTCTGACCAGAACACTGAATGTGCTCATTGTGTATTTTGGCATTATCTCAGAACACAGTTACTGTTTAATCAGATACATGCTATAATCTCAGCAATTGCTCTGCTCTCTCCAGCAGCCAGTTATGCTCCATTATGACCAGCCAGGAAGGAATCTTTTCCATCAGTCAATCCCTTTTACAGCACTCCATGCTTCTGAAATGTCTTTAGACAAACCTCTAAAAAATGGAAATTAATTTTGCCTCTGGTAACATCAGATTTGCCTTTACCACAGGCACAGCCTCAGGGCAATGCTTGCTTGGTCCAGTTCCAACTCTGCTGGAATTTTGAGCAACAACAGCTTCTAGGCAGGCACTTAAAGCAACAACAGTTTCAGGGCAGACTGTCACCCACCCCACTCAGAACCATGTGTGCACATCAGCCACAAACACACCCAAACAGTGCCCAGCCTGTACCAGCCTCACAGCTATTGACACCCTGTCAGCAACAAAGCTGAAGCCTTAACAGCAGCAAAAGGAAAACAGCCAAACCACCACCATATTCCCCTTGTAAATAGAATGTCAGCTTCTCTACAGTAGGAAGGAGGAGGTGAGAGAAAACACTCCCCACTTGTTGCATCTGCACTTCTTTTTCTAATTCTCTGCACCTCAAAAGCAGCTGATTAAGAATTAACATTTGGTACACATAACCATGTTAGTAAAGAAAGTACATACACACATTTATTCTATAAGACCCATTCAATGACTGAGTTTCACATACAACAACTCCCTGCATGTCCAGATAAAAGAACCCACTTACCTTGTGCACAGTGGAACTCACTCTAAGCTCTCAGCCGTTCTGTCTTGAGATCATATATCTCTATAGCCCCTCCCACACCAAGTATTGCCAACAATTCTCTGCAAATGGGAAACCTCTTTCTCTTAAGCCAACAAAATCAATTACCTCTATTAAGTTACTTCTCACCTACAGAAAATAAAATCCTGACTAATGCTGACAATGTAGATATGTAAGGTAGATGAGAGGTCATGGTCATTGGAAATATCTGTCCTAGCACAGATGGTTATATGCCTCCTATTTGCTAGTTTAAAAAAATTGTAATGGCTGAAAAGCTCAGTTGAAAAGAATGCTGCAATGCCAATCACACTTTCATTCTAATGGCTTTTGGTTTTTTACTTTTTATACATTGCCACTTTACATAAATCACATCAACTAATTCAGCTCAAATCTGTCACAAGCTTCTATGCCTTGCTAAGTGTATATTCCTTCAGGACACTTCTGCTCAATTTCACCTCTGGGCAGCAGGGTTGGTTTTGAATTTTTTTCTTTAAAAAATGTTACCCTCACTTTGACTCAGTAGAAATATGCACCAACACCAAAGAGAACTGTGTGAGACAGTGAATGAAGTGTGGTATCAGATGGCAAACTGCTCTCTGCACTCCTGAGTGCTTACATTATAGAATTGTATTGATCTGAGACAGTTAGTACAGAATAATCCTCCTTGCACCATCCTGCCTATCTAATCTATGTGGTTAATATTGATGTGGGCAGTACCTGCAGTCAAGGCCAACGTACACATGCAAATTTTGGCTGAATTACCCTGAAGATAGCAGTGAGCAGGAATATTCACTTATGTTACACAGGGAGGTTGTATAAATTGCAGAGTGTCACACAAAACAATTGGTTTGTTACAGTAGGAGGGGTTTTCTCCCTCAGATCCTTCCTGGACACTAGCTGCAAGTGTTGTCCAAATGCTTCAGTGAGGCAGGAGAGAAACAGCTGCTGCAACAACTCTCTGCATCTTTCAGCATGCTTTTCTGCTGATGAAAAACATGGTTTTATTTTCTTTTTAAATGAAAAAACTGGTTCCAGCAGCATGACATTTCTCATGAAGAAATTGTTGGCTTTAGCAAGACCTACAGAGCCCTGATTTTGCCCAGCTGAAAACTGTGCTGAAAACAGCAGTGCTCCAGTTGTAGCTGGATATAGGGCACTGACTCTTTCATTTACAAACTTGGTTTATTTGGGGTTTAAGTAGTATCACAGAATCATAGAATGGTTTGGGGTAGAAGGGACCTTAAAGATCATCTAGTTCCAACCCTCCTGCCATGGACAGGAATACATGTCACTACATAAATGCACATATTTATCAAAGTGCAACAAGTTTATCAAAAGTCTTCCTAACCTCAGTAGTGGGGCTTGCTTTAAGTAATTTAAATGAACAACTCCAGTACAACTTGTATTAAACTTGGTTTAATATACAGTGACATAAGTCAATATGGATTCCTGCATTCCAGGGTCTCGTTAAGACCTGACACCATCCTGAATCTTTCCTTAACAAGTTTTAAGCTGGTGACCAGCATTTGTTTCTCAGAGTCTACAAAGGGCTTTTAGCTGCTGCAACAGACCTTCTGATAAAGGAAACATTGCTGAAGCTGCATCACAAGACTTCAAGTGTCTAGTGCCAAAGCAGAGGTACACTAGGAGCTCTGGTCCAAGGATATTCCAAGTTAAGCTCAGAGGAAAGCTGAATCCAAACTTTCAGCCTCAGCTAGCCAGAACATGCAGGCTTTTCTACGAATTTCCTAGGGAAAAAAAAAACCATGGCCTCCTATTTGGGATAATCTCTCCTAATTTTGCAACGAGTCTTGCGAATGGCAGAAAAACAAAACCAGACAGATCTTAGGCCTAGAAGTTGCAGCAAGAAATCAATGAACAGCCAGGTTTTGAGTATCAAGTGTAAGAATTTATTTCAGGTAGTTTTTTACTTATCTAAGGCATTCTATGTTGTCCAATATACCCCCTATTTAGTGAACTGTTTCGTTTGCTGGTACACTCATGTAGTTTAACACTGAAGTGTCTGCAGTAGGCTAAAACCAACCCTGTTGCTAAGGAAAGATCAAAACCATTTTTGCACTTGTTCCAATAATTTGACATTTCCATTCTTTTCATTAATTTCACCTTCCTACTATCTGCAAATACAATGAAACAGAGTTTCTGTGGCTTTAGGGTGCTGCTCAGGAGTAGAAAATTTTCATCACTTTGTCTACAACATCGTCATCTGATGGCGGCTTCCTCTGGCTGCCAGGCTGCAGGAATTTCTTTATTGTGGGGATATTGCTTAGTCTTGCTTTGAAACTCTGCAAAACAAAACCAAAACAGCACAGTGCTTAAGAATCATTGCAGCTGTCAGACATATCAATGTTGTCCATGTTCTGAAAGTCACATCACAGCTTGATGCTGCAGAAGAAACTATACGCTTCCCCTCTTATGCTTTTGGGGTTGTAGTAACAGAATGTGGCAATAACAATGAGGATGTGAGGGAAGCTAAAAGTTCTTAGGATATTTTACTATTTTGCATGTCACTTATGACCCTCTCATTCTCCCATATTTCCCAGCCACTTCAAATCAGTGATCCTTTCCAATTCATTCCTCATTCAAACTGCCCATTCATTTACCTGCAAGAGAGGAAATTTGGCAAAGATATCAGGCTTCCACTCCTCTACCATCAAAATGACTTCAAGTAATTGAATATCTGCCCTGCTCAGCTGGTTGCCAACCAGAAAGTCTTTTCCATGGTCTTTCAAAACCTAAAAACAGAGAACAGAAGCAGATCATGTCTTTTCTCTCTCTTTTATCAGTTCTTTTCTCATAAATAAGGTGATATCTTCAAAGCAGGGTCACACATTGCACAGAGTTGTCACTGAAAGAAGGAAATGCAGTTCAAACACATGCAGCACAAACAATCATCTGAAGGCACTGCCACCCTAGGCATCATCTATCAGCTCTTTCACTTCTACATTCCTGTCTGGCAGCTCAGTTGGACTCATCTTGCCTTGCCTGCTGTAGCTGCACTGAAGGCTCAGCTGTATGAGATACAGGAGGAACTGCAATGCTTTTACACAGCATGTATGGTACAGGGCCGTTTGCCCTTCAGGAGGAGACTTGATGTCAAAGCTGGTGCTGTAGAGTCTTTTGTCTGAAACAACACACACACTGAAACATGGACATTTGGGGAGCTCTGTGAGTGCTGGTTTTTGCAGCTGTACATCTCTCCCAGATTTGAAGTGCCCTCTGTCCCCTCTGTAGTGTCCTGTCTCCACCTTAATCCCAGCACCACTAAAAACCAGAGCATTGATTTTCCAGGGGTAGCTTCTCTTCTGTTTTCCTCCATTAAACCAGTGTGCTTCCAGGATGGAGGTTCAAGGTAACAACATCAATTGAGCTACAAGATCTTTGCCACAAACCTTCTCAAAGACTGGGAAGTATCTGTTTTCAGCCTTGTCCATCATATTTGCAAAATGCTGCTCCTTTTTGTCTGCTGGTTGGATTTCATATGTCATGAGTAACTCATTTAGATCGAACATTCCTTCCACGTACATATCGATTCTGAAAGGAAGAGATCCACTTGGTCAGGTCACACAGGAGGTCTGAACAGCACAATAACTCCTGGCACAACCTCACTGAGATGCTGGGAAATCTCTGCCCCTTCTATCCCACACACACACACATACCCTGGCAAAGATCCCCCTGGAATGCAGTTGCACTGGGGCCAGGCAGGGGGGGGCTTGGGCCAAAGGCAAATGCAAAATTCCTAGGGAAACCTAAAGACTGTAGGACTCCCACTACTTACTGCGACTGATTCTTGTCTGGAATATGGGTTTGTGAACCTGACTACAGAATTCTCACGTGTGCCATCCAGACTCATGTTAAAAATCCAATAAGGCAGCCTAAGTTTAACAGCAGCTCCATACCATTTCTAGCAAATATCATGACACAAGTGTTTACCGGAGATTATTAAGTTCAAGCATTTAGAAATTCCTCAAGTGAAAATATGAGCCCCAGGAGTCCTCTCCTTTAAAAACCTGTAATTAAATCTGCACTAATTCCTGGTTATTAGAGAGAGAAGGGTTTTTGTTCCCTTAAAAGACATTGCCCTGAATGTGAGGAGGGTAAAATGATGCTGCTGACAACTGCAGGAGAAAATGAAATGCAGCATCAGTGGGACAGTCTGCCCCCCGACTGCTTTCTTCTGATAAGTGCATGGACCTCTGACTGATGGTTCCTGGGCTCGCTTGCCCTATGGAATCCAGCTGGCTCTCTCTGCTGTAGACATCAGCTGCAGTCACAGTGATCTCGTGCACTGCTGCCCTCTCCCACTGAATCGAGCTGGGAGCTGGATACCCTTGTGTTTCCCTGAGCTACAGGGTGGGCTGGGGTCCAACAAGCAAAGGTGGTACTGTTACAGTACAGGGCTCTCTCCTTCACGTCCTTCCCGTAGAGGTTGTACTTGGTTGATATGTAGTTGGCAATGGCTCTTGTCTGCACTAGCTTCATCCCGTCTATCTCTACCATCGGCACTTGCTGAAAGAGCAGGGATCCATCTAGGCCAAAGGGAAGAACACAAGGAGAAGTTCAGTCCCTCAGTGAGAACCACCCACATGTGTTAGGCAAAGAAACCACACGTATTCCTTTTTATTTAGAATCTGAATCAATCTGGATGGATAAACAATCTCAAGATCATCAAATCCAATTTTAAAACCAGCAATGCCTAATTCCACCACTAAACCCTCTCCCCAAGTGCACGTCTACACGCAGTGACTCAACCACTTCCTTGGGCAGCCTGTTCCAATGCTTGACAACACTTTTGGTAGCAACCTTCCCCATTCTTACAGGAAGGTGTGGAAAATACCATGCAGCAGTGACATGTTAATAACTTAATGCTATAGAAATGAAGTTGTGGAAATTTCAGATCGAGAAAACAGCCAAAGGCAGAACTGGCAGCTGTCATACATTGAAAAATACATGCACTGCATGGCTCTAACACAGGTGATTTTCATGGAGGTTCACAGAGATGAGAAGGACTGAAAAACCTGGTCCAGTCCGTTTCTGTCATGTTTTGCTAAATACATCTGGACTTTCTAATCACTGGCTGACTTATAATGTGAATACTAATGAATATATAAATAATAGTGAATAGAAAAGCATAGAATATCTTTGTGAAAACTTTATTGACTTTGTAAATGGCATCCCATCTATACAAGCATGAAGTGAGACCAACAAATGAGTTCTATGAGATTCCTGCAAGACCCAAATATCACTTGGACTTAGGCTGGAGCCATGCTATTCTTCTGCTAGCATGCAGAAGCCTTGTCCTAGCAAGAAGAAATACCTCCAGAAAGAGAGGTATCAGATCAGACCGTCAGCAAGAGTTTTTGCTTAGGGAATGATCAGATATGTCCATTTGGAGGTGTACATTTTTTTTCAGCTTTCTGCTTGTGTCCCAAAATACTTTTTGAAAGGCAGCCTGTTACATAGGGACCAAGTCATTATTCCTACAGGACAGCAGAACTGCAAATGATAATACAAGATCAGGTTGCTTTTCACAGGCCAGGTGAAAAGCACAGACATGCAATTTGGTTTGGATGAAACATGATTATGATGTTCAGGAAGACAGAAGCTGAAGCAGCACGGTGGGTTGTTGCCTTGGGAGGCAGTAATGCAGCAAAGGAACAGGTAAACTCAGAAATCTGGAACTCTGTTTTCATAGGGATTATAAAACAACAACATTATAGGCAACCTAAGATGCTTATGATCTTCAAGATGATCTGAAGGCAAAGGTCTCTGCGGCCATAGGACAGAAGGCAGTGGACACAAACTGAAGCAAAGGAGAGTCAACCATCTGAACTTCAAGAAAGGCTCTTGGACTGTGTGGGTTGTCCAGAGAAGCTGTACATTCTCCATCCTTGGAGATACTCAAAACCCAGCTGGACCTGGTCCTGGGTAACTGGCTGGAGGGGCCTTGCTTGAATGGGGGAGGTGGAGTAGATAATCTTGAGAGGTCCCTTCTGACCTCAGCCCTTCTGGCATTCAGTGAAGATTGAAGCAACTGGGTGGATGATATCAGCTATCAAACTGCAGGACCTCTCTCTGCACCTCTGAGAGCTCATGTACAAAATCCAGTTAAGAGACTTTCTTTTTAAGGCACTAAGACTTCAGAATTCTTAAGTGTTCTCAGACAAGTAAGTCTAATTCCAATTTCAATTCTGATTCTTCCTGTTTTTACTATTGCTGCTTGTATTATCTAAAAGTGAAGGAAACTTACCCTTCTGTAACTTTGTCAGATCCTCCTTTTTTTCCAGGTAAGATTCTTCAAACTGCAGGAAGGAGAAAAGTTGTATTGTTATTCCATGATTTAGCCTCTCCTCCTTTAGGTAAAAAAGGCCTAGAGTGATATGTTTTGGGCAATTTTATACTTTAAAACATAAATAATATTTGAAATCTTTTAGGCACATTGGCCTTCACTGTGACAGAAACCCTTGTATTTGAAACACACAGATTCCCATACACCATCTCAGGTTTAGTATCAGAATCTGTCAGAGGTAAAAAATTTACTTTGTGATTTACAATATCCAGTACGTTCAATGGCAAACTACATTGAGGCAGCAATAATAACCTCTTGCTGGTTTGGACATTGGAATTTAACTGAAGGTACTCAGAATTGCAGGTGCTTGACCTCTGTAATCAGAAGATTAGGAAGCCAGGTTCTGCTGCTGGGGTTCTAAATTTCTTCTCTCTCTAGCTACAGGGGAGGAGCATTTCTGGTGCTACCTGCAGGCTTTGCACACGATGCATGCAAGCGAGACAGGAACTTGCCCCCTGCTTAGGGCAAGCTCATGGGCCCTGTTGGCCTGGCTCAGCAATGGACTGAAGGCAGAGCTTGAAACTGCTGCTCAGTCGCACTTTTCAGAAGGAACAGTAGAAGCACATATTTGTCACAGGATCTCAGTACAAAAGACCAGAAGCAAACCTCAACCCCAGCTGCTGCCAGGAGCCACCGAATTGTTTCCATGCGGCCACGTCCATTGAAGTAGTGCAGCTTGGGTTTTCCAGACATGTTTCCACCTGCCTAATTCCCTGGTATCTGCAATGAAGAAAGCAGGGTCGCAGTTTTGAGTCTCTAACTGGCTCTCAAATTGTCTTGTTTGAAACCACTGATTTGTGGTTTAAGACTTTTAATTAATCAACAGCGGAGGTAAAAGATTATATTGAGAGACTGCCATGTATCATTCTACCTTCAAATATTACTTACACATGCAGAATATTTAAGGAGAATTCTGCACTTAGAATAGGGCCAGACAGAGAACAAGGATTTTAAAGTATTTTAATCTTTGCATACAATGTGTTTTGTTCTGACCAGAAAGCTGCATGTGCTCATTGTGTATTCTGGCATTATCTCAGAACACAGTTACTGTTTAATCAGATACATGCCATAAACTCAGCAATTGCTCTGCTTTCTCCAGCAGCCATTTATGCTCCATTATAACCAGCCAGGAAGGAATCCTTTCCATCAGTCAATCCCTTTTACAACACTCCATGCTTCTGAAACGTCTTTAGACAAACCTCTAAAAAATGGAAGTTAATTTTGCCTCTGGTAACATCAGATTTGCCTTTACCACAGGCACAGCCTCAGGGCAATGCTTGCTTGGTCCAGTTCCAACTCTGCTGGAATTTTGAGCAACAACAGCTTCTAGGCAGGCACTTAAAGCAACAACAGTTTCAGGGCAGACTGTCACCCACCCCACTCAGAACCATGACACCCTGTCAGCAACAAAGCTGAAGCTTTAACAGCAGCAACAGAAAAACAGCCAAACCACCACCATATTCCCCTTGTAAATAACATGTCAGCTTCTCTGAAGTAGGAAGGAGGCGGTGAAACACTCCCCACTTTTTGTATCTGCACTTCTTAATTCTCTACACCTTAAAAGCAGCTGATTGAGAATTAACATTTGGTACACATATCCATATTACTAAAGATAATACATACACACATTTATTCTGTAAAATGCATGCAATGACTGAGTTTCATGTGCAATTCCCTGCATTTTAGGAAAAACTAAAGCAAAAAACTTACTTACCCTTTGCACAGTGTGACCCACTCTAAACTTACAGCAGTTCTGCCTTAAGATTATATAACTTTGGAGCCCCTCCTACACAGAGCGTTCCAAACAGCTCTCTGCAAACAGGAAACTTCTCTCTCTTGAGCAAACAAAACCCATTATCTCTGTTTAGCTACTTCTGACCTGCAGCAAATAAATTCCTCACTAATGCTGACTATGTAGAAATGTAAAATAAATCAGAGGTTATGATCTTTGGAAACGTGTGCTAGCACAAAATGGTTATATGCCTCCTATTTTCATTGCTTGTTACCATGCTAGCTAAAAATAATTATAACAGCTGAAAAGTTCACTCAGATTAAAAGAATACTGTTATGGCAATCTCACTTTTAATCTAGGGGGTTTTTTTGTTTGTTTTGGGGGTTTTTTTTACTTTTTACACATAGCCATTTTACATAAATCACATCAACTAATTCAGCTTGAATCTTTCACAAGCTTCTATGCCTTGCTCAGTGCAAATTCCTTCAGGTGACTTCTGTTGAATCCTCTCTGGACATCTGGGTTGGTTTGTTTTTTTTATATTTCCTGAACTTGACTCAGTGAAAATACACACCAAAGACAGCTGAAAGAGACAGTAAATGAAGTGTGGCATCAGAAGGCAAACTGCATTCCGCAGTCCTGACTGTGTCCTTTGGACAACTCAATAGATTTCAAAAAGTCATACATTCAAATACAGCATACATTCCCATGTACCTTCCTGCCTATCTAACCTACGTGGGTAATAGTGTTGTAGCCATCACCTGCAGTTACAGTACAGCAGGCTGTCACCTTCATGTCCTTCCTGTATGCATACTTGATTGCTTGGTAGCTGAAAATGACCCTCATCCTGTCAATCCTTACTGTTGGTACCTGTTACATCATTGTGTTCCATGCTTGACAATAAAATAAGCTTAATCATTTATTTAGAGCTAGAATCACAGAAGGAGAAGGCACCAAAAGAGTCACCACTGCAATGCATTGTCTTTTAGGAGGTGTCTAGTCCCCATGTGGAACACTCTCTATCCCATTTGGCACATAAGGAGAGCCAGGCCTCACAGAAGAGGACCCCTGACTGACAGCACCTCTTGTAGCTCCCCATTCTGGTTAGGGCTCTATGTCCCTCTGTCCCCTCCTTACATTTTGGGAAGGTCTTCCATCCAGCCTCTGACACTGTTGGAAACAGTGTTTCCCATATTTTTGGACACATATGACTTATGACTCAGAATCTAGGATAATGTAGGAGATTGAAGTTCCCATGCAGTGACATGTGCACCAAGGTGCATCTGGCTGTTTCACAAACCCAAACCTCTCTTAGGAAACTTGTCTGGATTCACCATTTGTAGGCCTGCCCCTGATAAACTCTAGGAGACATCCTGAGTCTAGTGATCACCTGGTAGGGAAACATGAGTTCAAGCCTAAAAGTTAATGATAGTGTAGACAACTTAGGAAAACCCATCTCACCTAACTCTGTAGACATCTACATCTGGTCTAGCCGTCTAGTCTCCTTCCAATAGGTCCAAACTCAGGAGGAATCCCTCAGCATGCTCTTCAGTTACCGCTGAATACTCAAAAATGATTGTGTCTCAACTGAGATGGTTAGAAGTTTTGATGAAGCCAGTCCCTTCAACCTCCCCTTAGAGGTAGGGGAGAGGAGCACCCTCTTCAGAGGGTGATTTAATGCCAACATTGACATTTCTTGTTCTGTCACAAGTATCCATTGAGATTTCAGGCAACTAAGTCCAATATAGTCTGTCTCATAACTTGACTTCTGGAAATGTCACTTCATTGAGGTATTTTGGGAAATATTATTCTTCTGTTTTCTCCCTCAGGTTCATTTTTCCATATTTTTTCTAATTTCTTTTTTTCTTCACTCATGTCATAGACTATTAAGCATCAGATCTGGTTACTGACAGTTGTTGGAACACAGTTTCCTTCTAAGCAGCTGCTTCTCTGTTGCATCAGGCCACTTCACAATGCTGTTTTTATTGTCTGCTGTTATATTTTTATTTGAAATTAAATGGACTGTGAGTATCTGTTGCTCTGTGTTCTGTCCTAAAGGTGTAGAAATAAACCCCCTCTGCCTTGCCACAGTCTGCAAAGCAGACTGCACCTTGCTTTCACAACACTTTGCTCTCAAGAGGTAATATATTTGTAAGCACCTTGGGAGTAGCTGGTATGATCATTCAGGTTTGAAATACCTGATTTATAGACAAAAGCAATCAGTTTTGAAAAAACTTTACTGAGGGACCTTAAAAATCCAATTCAACCACAAGCTTTAAATTTGATAATGGAAATTTGAAACAACTTCTTTAAAGGGTAAGTGGTGCTGCAAGTCCTCTCTTTCTTCTCTTCCACAGCTGTTACTCTGAGCTTCTTTTCATGTAGAAAATATCTTCTCCAACAAGTTGTATTCTGCCAATACTAACACTGCATTGTTCTTTTTCCAAATTAGTAAACTCCCAACCCTACAAATAGTTCTTTGCCTCCATACCCCTTTGTTTTCAGGTTTTGCCAAGCATTTGATATCAATAAAGAAAAAGCTGCCGTCACATTGCCAGTGTAACAGAATGCTTTATTTCTGGTATGGGTTGCTTTGTTCCTCTAGTACAGGTTTTAACTAAAACAATACTAATTTGCTGAGCTTCCTTCTCCTTTGGTTTAGGGTTTGGGGTTGCTGCTCTGCTTTCTCTTGCTCTCCCAGCATTTTGGGTCTCACCAAAGGTGGCAAGGCTTTCATTTCTTAAAAACCTTCAACACGGTTTCTACATAATGGGCATCTGGTGGGGGTTTCCTTGGGCTGCCAGGCTGCAGGAACTTCTTAATTGTAGGCATATTGCTCATTTTGGTTTTAAACACCTAAAAAAAAAAAAAAATAATTAAAAAACAGAGCAAGAGAGGAATTCCAGCCACAAAAATATGATTTACCCAGCATGGGGAGATGATTACTTCAGGACTGACCTCTAGCTCCTGAATACAGCATACTCAGTAATTAAATTACCTGCAACTGAGGAAACCCTGAGAGCACATCAGGAACTTTCTCCTCCACTGCTAAAATGGCTTCCATTAGCTGAACATCTGCCCAGCTGAATTTGTTGCCCACAAGAAAGTCTTGGCCATGTTGTTTCAAAACCTGGAGAAGACAAGACATGGGCTGCAGATGAGAGTGGGACATATGGGCATCCTTGGCATCTAAACCTCACAGCACAGCTGCAGAGCTGAGCAGCAATTCTATCTGAAATTTCAGGGTGGACTTTTCAGCTGAAGCTGAGCCTAAACTTCATTACTGCTGGGAAAAAATGAAGTTTTGTTCATTTCGTGTTCTAGTACACAGACTACAAATTTGGTCACTAAGTAATAATGAACAATGATGGGCACTAGGAACAGAAACAAAACCACATGCCTCAGTAGACTAGTAACAGTCCTAGAATTAGAAATAGGGACAATGGAGGAAGCAACAAGCAATTTAAGGAATTCATAGAACTCCCATTTAGATGTTTCATGTGAAGTGATGTCCAATGCTGATATCAGGAAGCAAACTTAGAAATGCAGAATTGCAACAACTAACTAAAGAAAATCCCTGCCTTTGGGAACAGACTATTTTAGTGCTAAGAACTTGTGTGATGTTCAGCCTTTATTATTGTTTTGCAAGAAAACTAGATCAATATTACAAAAGTGGGAAATATTGCCAGATGCATGAATCATATGGGTTGGGTTTATTGTTTTATAAATCTGTGATTGTAGTTTTACTAAAGTACTCCTCTCTACAGGATTTGTGTACAAGGGATTTTTGCATTCCTCCAGTGAAACTTTTCCAAATGAAATTAAGTATGGCAGAGAGATGGGCTTCAAACAAATATAAGTATAGAACTGCTCCTTCAAGAAAAATAATCACAAAACTTTTCACTAAAAGTTTTTCTGTACAGCTGAGAACATGTTGCTTAACAGATATTCAAATACCACAGTCCTGACAACACAAGCAAACAAAGAGAGGAAGATGTGTTGCTGTATTTCCCCTTTTCTGATAGCCAAAAAAGCTGAGGATTGGGAACTGACCTACACTACAAACACATTCTTATTTTGCAGAAACTTTTTGGATAATTGCAAGTTTGATAGACACATACTTGCTGTCACTTACCTTTTCAAAGACTGGAAAGTACCTGTTAGTTGCTCTCTCCTTAATTGACTCAAGATTTTTCTCCTTTGCATCAGGTGGAGAGAAAGGAAACATCAAAATCATTTGCATCAGATCTGATATTCCCTCCACATACATGTCAATCCTATTGGTCAGGGGAAGATGGGAGAAAAAAGCACAGAAGTTATTTCATCTGTTTTCCAATTAACTAAGGCGACTTACAGGAATTTTATATCACCAATATAGTGCCAATTTTCACAGCCAAAACTAAGCATGAACGAAACCTGAATATTTTTCTAAAAGAAAAGAAGCCTGTTTCTGATAGGAGCATTTCAGAAGCAGTGGTTAAATCTTATTGTTAGCCTTTTTGATGCCTTTATATGGGATTTACAGGATTGAATTTGGCTTATATAATGTAGCTATCAAATGCTCTGTTAGTGATAGGAGGTGTTACATACATGGCTCTCTCCTTCAAGTCTTTCCCATAGAGATTGTATTTCCCTGCTATGTAGCTCATGATGGCTCTGGTCTGCACCATCTTCATCCCATCGATCTCAACCAGGGGCACTTGCTGGAAGAGCAGGAATCCATCTAGGGTGGAGAGGTGAAGGAAAGCCTGTTAGTTCCTCCTGCAAGGTGTACAAGAGGGTGAGACACTGAGCACATTTCTCTTGCAGTGTAGGAGACCACTGATGTCCTGCTCCAACTGTACAACTCACAGCACTCAACTAACGTTGTGGGGAAGATAAAACAGCCTGCATCACACTCCTGTAGCAAAGTCACCACAGCACAGCTGGGCTCTGGGCTTGACAGCATTGACAGAGCTTCACTGGCTGGTGGAAGTTGGCCCTGCCTGTTCCTCTGCACTTCTGGAGCCTGCCTCATGCTGGCA